AATTCAGTGAAGTAATAATAAGATTATCATTTTTTTCACAGCCACCTGTTCCTAAAGCTCCCTGGGATGAAGTTTTCAATGCAACTTCCTTTGGTCCGTTGTGTTCTCAAAGTAAGCATAGATCTCATTGGGACATCGTCATGGAACCTAACGGACTAAAGGTTCTAAGGAGACTAGGATTGTGGGATTATCAACAAGGAGAAGACTGTCTCAATTTAAATATTTACGTGCCTTTCAAGGTATGTATATTGTATTCTTCTTTTAAATTTATTATTTATACAAATAAAAGAATAACACAATTATGTAGTAAAAAAATTATTTTATAAATAAATTTTTTGAATGCACATTAGCATTTACCAGGGATAAAAGGTGCGCCTGAACGTAAAAGTAGTTTAAACTTAATCCAGTTTTATTCATTTCCTCTATTTAATTATTCATTCGTAATCACCTCTACGTTATATAGAGGTTGGACAATAATATGGAAACACTTCCATGCTACCTTTATGTGAACAATCTTTCTTTAAGCAGAAAATGTTTTGGGAGATTTTATACGGCAAAACTCATGGCACAATTTGAAAGAAAGTGCTTTAAGCTTCTTAGAGATGATGTCATATTTACCCATGGAAAATTCAGAACGACCAAAATGAGGAGAGAGAGTTAATGACTGATTTTGAGTTCAAATGCCAGCAATTTTGAAATCTTTCTATAAGATTTACAGCTATATTCTATAGAATAAACAGCTTTTGTGTTGGACAATAATGTGGAAACACTTCCATATCAACTCTTTTACTTTTTAACAATCTTTTTTTTAGCAGCGTATGTTTTAGAAGATTTTACTCGGCAAAACTCATGGCACAATTTGTAAGAAGATGCTTTAAGCTTCTTAGAAATGATATTTTATTTACCGATGAAAAATTCAGAACTACGAAAATGAGGAGCGGGAGTTAATAACTTCGTTTCAGTTTAAATGCCAGCAATTCTGAAATCAATCAATGGGACTGATTGCAATACTCTATTAGATATACAGCTTTTGGTTTGGACAATAATATGGAATCACTTTCATACGAACTCCATGTAAACTATTTTTTAAGCAGCAAATTTTTTGGAAGATTTTACACGGCAAAACTCATGGCACAATTTGTAAGAAGATGCTTTAAGCTTCTTAGAAATGATATTTTATTTACCCATGAAAAATTCAGAACTACGAAAATGAGGAGCTGGAGTTAATAACTTCGTTTCAGTTTAAATGCCAGCAATTTCGAAATCAATCAATGCGACTGATTGCAATATTCCATTATATATACAGCTTTTGGTTTGGACAATAATATGGAATCACTTCCATACGTACTCCATGTAAACTATTTTTTAAGCAGCATATTTTTTGGAAGATTTTACACGGCAAAACTCTTGGCACAATTTGAAAGAAGATGCTTTGAGTTTCTTATAAATGGTGCCATATTTACGCATGAAAAAATTCCGATTGACCAAAATGAGGAGAGGAAGTTAATAACTTCTTTTCAATTCTAATGCCAACTATTTTAAAATCATTCTATAGGATTACAACGTTTCTTTTAGATTGAGTTTTTAATTCTAGCGCGTTTGAAAAATAGAAAGACACTTTTAACCTCCTACTCTCATTTTGGTCTATGCAAGGTTCGACACAATTTCTAAATGTCACAATTAAAAATGACACAATTTCTGACAGTTTGTGAAAATGACACAATTTCTGACAATTTGCAAAAATGACACATTTTCTAACAGTTTGTAAAAATGACACAATTTCTAACAGTTTCAAGCATAATCTTTCAAATAGCGCCAGCAGTTTTGTCGTGTAAAATCTTCCAAAACATTCGCTGCTAGAAAAAAAAATATTTACCTAGAGTTAGTATAGAAGCGTTTACAGATTTTTGTCCAACCCCTGTACATTACCACTGTCTTTTTTAAGATTGGGTGCTTCTATTTTGAATTAATATAACTTTCCGTTTAAAAACTAAAACTTAGATTTTAATTTTAGGGTTAATATACTGGTATATACTAAAATATATATACCATTACAAAAAGGATTTCCATGTCCTAATAAAAATTCAACAGTGGTTCTAAATTTCCTTCCTCAAGATACCGATTTAACTTTTAAGGATCTGATAACAGAAAATTTTCATTTATTAAAAATAAAACTGTCCAGCAGCACCACTTATTGGCCAAGGGTATCAGATGGAAGTTAAAGCTCCATAATTTTGTGCAAACGGCATGATGATGACAATGTCAATAGCATTGCATAAGGACTGTCTTTACCTCCGAATCAAGCTGTTAACTATTAATCTGAAACTGGTTAGGCTTCAAGGCGCCATCAAGAATCGAACCCCGGTTTAACGCAATGGCAATCCAGTGTCTTAACCACTAAGCTCTCGGAGCCAAATGAAATTTTTATACTATTATATTTTCTTTGAAAAACATCTAGTAATTAAAAAATGTATTATATTATCGAGACTTGACAACTTTTCGTTAACTTTTAGCTTTTCGTTAACTAATCTTTAAAATTTTACAGGCTCACGAAGCCCTGCGAAGTTATTTTCAGTGATTTTATTTAATTTTTTTTTTAATTCACAGGCTCTTCCTGATAAAAATCCAATACTAAGTAATTTACCCATCATGTTTTTCATTCATGGAGGTTCTTACAAAACAAATGGGGGACGTTTTTATCCTGGAGAATGGCTTGCATCTGCTGGAGAAGTAATTGTGGTTACAGTGAATTACAGATTAGGAGTTCTAGGTGAGTAAACATTGTTTTAATAGAAACAAGTTTTTTTTTAAATATTTACATTAATAAATATGAAGAACGGCTGAAAGAAAATGGTTTATGAGTGAAGGACACTTTAAAAACTAAAATACGAGAAGAAAGGTTGAAAGAAAATGGTTCATCACCCTTTCCTGTGCAGTGTAACCTGTCTTGAAACTCCAATTCAACAAATGTTACAATCCAATAGACATATAAAACTAATTGCTTCTAATCGTTTAACAACTACTTTTCTTTAAGCAACAAAGAGCTGAAGCATATCTCTTCACTTAAAATGGTACATAATGTAGCAAAATCATTAAACCAAAACTTACGGGAACAGCAAGTTCAAGTTTAAATTAATAGTACTTCTGATCTAACCAATGTAAATTAGCAAGTTCTTAAATTTAATAATAATACGAACGGCTTTAGAAAAAAAATGGTATGACATTTGCAATTAAAGTCTATTTATAAAAATATTTTATTCATTTAATTACCAATTTAGTTTAGTATAATACAATGCTCAAAACAATTAAAGTACGTATATTGAGGTTGTGGGTTGATCTTACACCTAGAAAATTGTTTGAATAATTGATAGATTATCGACAGACAGAATGGCTCTTGTTTGGCAGGGGAAAAAAAGCCTTTCATTGAGCATTTGGGTACAAAAGGAAAAAAAAAAACAGAATTTGTGCATATGAGAAACACAAATAAAAAAGGTGGTTCCATGAAGAAAATCTTTTTTTTAAGTCGCGGGTATGGTGTCCCCGATGGCCAGCAACATTAAACACTTTTGCGGCATCGAGTCGATGAGTTTATTAATGAGGAGCTGGAGTACTTTGTTCCACTCCTACAGAAGAGTTCTTTCCAGTTCTTGGAGAATTTGTGTGGGTGGCAGGCGTCCAGCAGTTCGTCTGCCTAGAATTTCCCAAACATACTTGATTGGGTTCATGTCCGGAGAACAAGCTAGCCAATCCATTCGCATGACTCCTTCCTCCAGAAGGAAATCAGTTATCAAGTTAGCACGATGTGGACTGCAATTTTCATACATTAACATGAAGTTCTCCCCGATTCCTGTATGTCCAATGTAAGGGACTACAGTAGGTCTCAGGATCTCAACCTTATATAGGCGACCGGCCAGAGCTCCATTTCGAATGATATAGAGATCGGTGCGCCCATCAATAGAGATGCCAGCATAAACCATCACTACCCCCACCTCCAAATCTTACACTTTCTTGCATTTCCAGTGCCACATTCTTCAGATAAAAATACTCTGGTTATCAGGATGAACAGAAAAATGGGACTCGCCAGAGAAAAAAATATTGCTCCATTCCTTTCTCCCCCAGTTCACATGCTCTGTTGTCCACTCCCTGCTGGCGCAACAGTGCTTTCCTGTTGGCGTGACACACACCATTAACGTGACACACACATCTACAGCTTGCAGGTGGTTTCGGACAGTTTGTGTCGAAACTCTGGATCCAGTAGCCGAGCGATGGTGTTTTTGAAGACGAGTGACATTCATATATCGGTGTCTCCGAGCCGTTAGCGTTAAATAATGGTCTTCATAGAGCGTTCTTGCACGTCTACGCCCTTGTCCTTGTGGCTTGTGTTTGGCCTCCCTCCAACCGGCCAACAACTCTGCAAGCTTCTATTTTTAGTGAGTGATAAGATGGTGAGGCAAACGAACTCATCGAAGCAGCGCACGTACTGAATGCCGATCATTCTTTTCCACTTTGTGTTGCATTAAGTCGGAAGACAAATCAAATATATGCTGCCGCTAAAGCGTCGTCTTCGACGTCAAACTCAAAATTTGCATACTGCGAAGTTGGAAAATAAGAAAATTTTGCATTTATGACTCTCTTCTTTCATTTTTTTAAAGACTTACGATATCCTTTAATTTTAATAAGTCTCCATTTAAAAGCAAATAGTTTTAAATTTCTAATAGTTTATAATATTTTTGCAATTACAGAGCTGCCAACTGCTGTGTTTTTTGCGAATTATTTTATAGAGTGGTGGACAATTAAAAACAATAGCTCTCAGAAGTTTTGGGTAATTTTGCCAACATTTTAAAGGCCTCGTGACAAAAGATAGTCTAAGTCAGATCTGATCTGACTTAGAGTTTTATATGAACTTACTATTGCCAGAGTGCACACACAGGATTAAAGATTCCTTAAAGTTTTTTTCCCTTTAAAATTTCTCTAACGCATTTTTTGTTAAACTTTTTTCTAGATTATTCGTTTTTTCCATATACGAAACTCTATTTCAGGAGAGTACGAAAACAGCTGAATTCAGTCTGTAATCAATATTTATTTCCCTGCATTAGGTTAAAGCAGTCGGCGAGTTTAGCGATGATACAAAGAGTCTTGTCATCACATTAATTAACGTGTGTTTAGCGACCATAAAGAGGGTGAATTCTTTTCCTATAAAAGTAAAAAGCGGTAGAACAAGTGCTTCATTATTAGCATTTATTTTAAGAAAATAAAAAATTTCTGTCTACTACATTTTTTTGAGCCGCGATGACTCAGGGGATAGATTATTCAACTTCCAAAGAGATGTACCGGGTTTGAATCCCAGTTGATACGAATTCCACCTCCGGCTTGCACCGACCACAGTGATGACGTGAAATATCCTCGGTGGTAGACGGATCATGGGTTAGAGTCCTCTTGCCGTCAGGCCCAACAGTGGGGGCTCTTGTGGTCATCCTCTCCATGTAACGCGAATGCAGGCTAGTTTCATCAAAAAGTCCTCCTCGAAGAGAAATTTCCTCCAATACTTGATCCTGGAGTTCCCGTGTCATCTGGATTAGGTTCAAAATTACAGGGCTACGGAGTTGAACATTAGAAGTCGTAAACCCAAAAATTGGGTCTGTTGTTCAACGACGGTTATAAAATAAAATAAAATGCTACATTATTTTTATTATAAAAATACTCACTTTTTGACAGTGATAAAAATTGAATTTTGGCAGAGTTAAAACGTCAACTCACAGTACTTTTTTCATGCTAAAGTAGTTAGTAACAGACGGAAATATCGCATATGTTTAAAAGTATACAGGAAGTCCGAAAAGTATGGAACAAACATGCATCATATTGAAAATCAGAAAACACATAAATTAAACATTGTCAAACGATGCATTCACTGTCATTAAACTAAGCTCCCAACATTTACCTTAAAAGATGAGTTGGGGTAATTTTAAAATCTTAAATTGAGAGCCCAATTCTCGTTGTAGATTTGGATGTTCTTGCAAAAAATACTTCAAATGGATATACAAGAATTTTGCCTTTTGGTTCAAAAATAGCTTTGTTATCACAAAACGAAAATGGGGTATGGTGTAAATAATTTAAAACGGGGAATCGCGAGAAATAAAAGTCGGATCGAAAAACCAAAATAGCATTATTTGATCATTTAAATTACCTATCTAATGATACCAAAGTCGAACCTCACCTCGAAACTTCACCAAGTTACCTACAAATCCCTTCTGCTCCAGAAAAAGAAGCTGGGATCAATTGCGATACCATTTAGATGCGCTTTAAAAATACATCAAACACAACTATTTCACTAAACAAAGTACATGGCGTATTAAATAAAATCCTAAGACTCATCACGGTCCTTAATATGTCTGGAACCAACTCAACAGATTTAACTTATAACTATACTGAAATAGTAAATTGCAAACTCTCAATGTTGGTTTCCAGAGAGCACAAACATGTAGAGTAACGAACTTCAATTATACACTAAGAGAATCTTTATATTTGGTCGATTATCTCCGGAACTACTGGACAGATTTTAATAAAATTTTGTTTGAACATAGGTTGATATAATAAAAAGTAATAACCATTCAGCAGTTATAATACTCACGTGCGATCGTGCGTAACACTCATCAGAATCATATAGTTTCTAAGAGTGGTTACAGAATTGAGTAAAAAAACTGGTTTCGTTGGGGAAGTGGCCCCTCGAACAGACCATGCAGGAGGCCTCACCGTGATTTCCTACAGGAAATAATGCAGTTTATGAGTTCCTGAGGTAATTTGTCTCATTCGTTCAGTTTTCAGACTCTGGATAGTTCTTGGAGGGGGTTACGTGTTGCATTGTCTTCCAAAAAGCGTCCCAGATATGCTCTCTAATGTTGAGGTCTGGATATCTGACTGGCTATTCCATCCGGTGACTATCTGCCTTTTCCAGAAAATGGTTGACCAGAAGTGCTCTGTGTGTTGTTACATTTTCATCCCTTAAAATGAAATCAGTACCCACCGCACCCCAGAAACGGCAAACATAAGTCTCCGAGACTTCATCCCCATGCCTCACACCAGTCACAGTACCTTTTTAAAAGCCATGGAGGGGTGTGCGAAAATTCAGCATTATTAATACCCAGACCACCAAACCTCAAGCAACCATAATGGTCAATTTTTTTTTTGTTCTTCAGAGGGCAGTAACGGGTTCCTGGATTTTTCCATACGAAATTACGTAGAGAATCAGTGGTCAGGCTGAAGAGGGACTCATCAGTGAAGAAAACAATCGACCATTGATTCCAGCAGGTTCTTCTTGCAAACATCAATCTCTCATGAAGCCACCTGAAAACAGTCTTATTTGAAATCCAGCTTCTTGTGGCAGTATACAGGTCACGAGAGAACTGCGAAGTTATAGAATCTCGGATACGCCTCGCTGTAATCGACAAATAGCAATCTTAGTTTACCATTCTTTTCACAGTATTATAAGGCAAGGTTGAAAGACAAGGATTTTAGTTGAAATAAAATATAATAAAGAATCAAGAAGATATTTTAAAAAAGTATTTTAATAAAAAATAATAAACAGAGACAAATATTTTAAAGCGAAGCGTTCTATTTATGTATCAAATCTGTTGCCACCATATATTATATGAAAGTTAAACTTTTCTCCGATGTGATAAAATTAAACTTATGTGAACCTTACATTTTGAACGGAACTGAACTGTATTAAATATGTGGGCATTCGAGGCCGCTTGCGGACGTCTTAACATTCATCTTTAACTTGAACTTTCTGGTGTTTTAATGGGTTGGAGGAATTCAGATAAAGTAAAAATTATTCACAGTATTTCGAATTATTAGTAGCATTTAGTAGAATTTTTCTTTTTTTAAAGTAATGTGTAAACACAAAAAATGCCCGGTAAATGTAAATAATAATGTATTAAAACTCTTTATAAATATTTGTATAGTCCCATTTATTAAAAACTTCTAGCGGTAAATACCCCGTCAACTCTAATGTATTCTTAAACTATCATAAATTAGTAATTTCATACACCTGCAATAATTCCCCTTATTTTGACGAAGACAACATCTTCAATCAAAGTCAATTCATCACAAAATAGTTCTGAACCGAGGCAAGCATAAAATCTTGCCTATCGTGGCACACACAATAGGTCCATTATGATCCAAGGATGAAATTCTCAGTCTCGGGAATTTTCATTAGGATCTAGTGTGAATGGAGCGCCACCAGCTTTCTCGCAGGTAGCTCGCTTTGCCCATTATTAAGCATATTTTGTGAAAGAATGCTGAAAATTCTTAAGGGATAGTAAAAGAGAAGCTTCGTATTTTTTCGTCGAATCCGAATAGATATAAATTTTGGGATAGATGTCCTATGGAGATCATACCTGTCAATTTTGACGTTTTTCGAAGAAATTGTTTTTCAAATTTCAAGCTGAATGAATGCGTGAATGAAAATTGATTGATGTTTGCATTTTTAAGCTAAAATATATATACTTCATAGAACACAATATAATTTTAACATATAGTGAAAAACTATTCCCTACTATATTGTACAACAGCTTCAAGGTACAGATATGATTTAAAAAAATTATTTGATGAATTACATGTTATAAAGTTTTATTGTATGCTTTTTATATACTTTAAATATTTTTTATCATAATATTTCTTATGTTTTAGGATATAAATGGTTTATAATGGAGGTTACCCAAACTACTATAAATTATAACAACGCTTTGATTCGCATATTTTCTCGTTCTGTTATTGTCTTTTGAGTTGCATTATTAAAGCCGTTTTGGGAATCTGAATAAAACTGATATCCAACTCTTTAATACTAGATTGCCATTTTGACTGCTGTTAATTTCAATTAGAAAAACAATGATGTATATAATGACTCAATTACTTAGAATTTTGTACAACATATAATTTATCGTTATTATTTACTAATAACTTGTTATATAACTGTAAATAACATAAAAAACATTAAAAATTAATTTTAAACAAATTTCTTTACACATTATTTATTCTTTTACAATCCAGTCATTTTGACTGCTTTTGGGCAATATAGGTATATACTAAGTTTCAGTCTTTCTAGTGTTAAAGAACTCTTTCCAACTCTTCTTTAGCTTGATTAAAGAAACACAACTTCTTTCTGTTTTTTTTTTAATCTTCTTTAGCTTTATTTATTTTTGAATTATTAGTCCAAAATGCTTTCATTCAATAGTTATTTCCATTTTGCTTAAGCTTAAATATTTTGAAAGAAATGTTTACAATTTAAGTAATCATTTCTTTCTTATCTTAAAACTCATAAACCTATTATTGTACGATAACAAATATTACAAGGATGAGAAAGTGTGATGAGCCTAGAAATGAAAATTATAGCCCTAAATGACTTTTTCACTAAACGGAATTAAATGTATAGTGCCAATTTTTATGGTTCAGAGTGTTGATCTCAAATATGGTAATCAATGAATTCCAACAAATATAAAACCATTTCATCTAAACACAATTTAATGTAAAATTAATATTTTTAAGAATTATTTACTATTTTTCGTTATAAAATTTTAGCACTCGTTGTGTTGTTTACTGCTTTGACGTGATAGTGTTTCAGAATATTCGACCATAACATTGTTTTATAAAACCTAAAACATTTATAGCTTGATTTTACGACTTTGTTCAACACCTTCTACATCAGAAGGCCTCCTCACGGCATTTTATAAGTAGTCTGCGTAGATTATTTAAAAAATTAACCAGTTGTGAGAATGAACCCAAATTCTATTTAAAAGTATTCGTTCGTTCGTTGTTTTAGAACTGGGCATCTGAGGCCTAAATGGCCCTTATCACATTCATCATGAAATATCCCAAAGGGACATACATAGGAAAGTTGTATTGGTGGTTCGGAAAAGAGCCTGAAATGCGATAAAATAATGAAAGGCATCATGAAAAATGTAGCAGGCTTGATGGTGAGGCTCCTCGTCTACGTCTTTAAGGCTGGGAGCAGGAAGATGAGTAATGAGATGATTTTCTCGTCTTTCAAAAGTTTCTGAAGTTCTTTGATGATTCATAGGAACTTCACTGCACTGCTGGGGGCATCTTGTGGTCTACGCGTGAAGGTGCGATGATTTCGCCTCGGCCGAGCACTATAGCCCGTAAAACAGGCCGGGTGATCGCCTTGACAATTGATGCATTTGGCCAGAAGGGAGAGAGGCTTCACGCACTGGTAGATAAAATGTGCTCCGGCACATTTCATGCAGGCTAGATCACTTGAGCATGCTTTCTGTGTATGTACAAATTTCTGGAACTTGTAGTATTGGATGGCGTAACGCCCTCCGTTAAATTTCTCGATTTGGACTGGAAAGGACAGCAGATTCTTTGTGGAAAATAAAGTCCCGATGTTCTGGGAAGCCATGGAGTGTCACTAGAAAAAGGGGGAGGAGCTTGTATCCGTTGTCATACGTCTTTCTTAGTTGCTCTATCTTGATGGGTCGTCGACTACTGTCCTCTATATCTTTTCCTCTCGGATGTCCATGGGTGAAAGCCCTTATATAGCAAGGCGGAAAAGAGAAAAACCTGGTACGTAAAACATTTCATTCCAGCATTTTTTTCGAAAAAAAAAATGAAATATCTGTAATTATCAAGATTTCTTTTATAATTCTGGCATATATATAAAACTGCTTCTTTTCCAAGATAAAGTAGATATTATTTCTAGATGTATGGGATAGGGGCCGCTGCGCGGCCCAGGTGCCCAATTTTTTATAAATAAAGTAAAGTATAAAGTAGATATTGTTGAAAAATTTAAAAAAAGAATAAGTAAACTCCTCCCCAAAACTAGCTATAACTGAAATGGTTTTACTTTCACCCCTGCGGATGTCTGCTGTAAGGCCTCGCACGAGAAATTTAATCTACTTAAAGGTAATTGAGATAAATTTTCCATATATGTTTGAAAATTGAATCTGTAGTGGTTGATAAGTAAATAATACAAACCAATAATATTCATAAATTAAACAAATTTTCAGACATATATTTGCTACCACTTTTTTATTTTTACTAGATTTTGTATTTAAGGGCTCTTTCGTAAACTGGTTTACCTTCATAGTGGATCGGACTACTTATAAGAAACCGTGAGGAGGTTTTCAGTTATAGGAGACGTTGGTTAAACTCCACAAATTGGAAAATTTTTATTAAAATCTCTTACACAATTCTGAATGCTTATATTTTTTAAATTCATATTTCAGGATTTCTTAGCACACAAGATGAAAACGCCAAAGGAAATTATGGTCTTCTTGATCAAATCTTGGCTTTGAAATGGATACAAGAGCATATTGAAAATTTCGGTGGTAAACCAACAGACGTTACGATATTCGGAAACAGCGCCGGTGGAGCATGCGTGGGCTTGCATTTAATTTCTCCTATGTCACGTGGCTTGTTTTCGAAAGCAATTGCCCAAAGTGGAAGTCCGATTGGCGAATGGGCAGTGCAAAGAAAGCCAAGAATGTATGTAGAACGACTGGCTCGCAAACTTAAATGCCCGGATGTGAACGACAGTGCTGCCATTCTGGAATGTTTGAGAAAAGTCTCTCCGGAAGAAATTCTCGATAAGAGTGAAGATGCTGTAAGTATTTGATTTCGTGTAAGAACATGTGAGCCAGAGCTGCCAACTTTCTACTTTTTTTTTCGGAAATTTTCTTCTAATGGCAGCTAAGTTTATGTTTTAATGTAGGATTTTGTGTTTTGCATATTTGATTTGAAGTTATTTTCCCCATCACTGCGTGTATATTATTTAAAATTTCATATGAAACGTCCCTTTTTTCCAACTTTCTCGTGATTAGACTTTTAAAATGTTGGTAAAACAACCAAAAATTCTGAAAGCTTTAGTTTTTAACTATCTACTACTTTATAAAACATTAGACAGAAAGCGTAGTAGTTGGCAACCATGAGTGACTAATAATGGTTATCCTTATTGAAATTAAACCCTGCAGAATCAGCGGAATGAGCAAGAAACTCTTCCCAAGGCCAGCATACTCCCTGTTTAAACTTACTAAACGAGATGTATTACGCGTGTACCATATTGAGTTTGTGTGATCTTGGGCCGCTAAAGTCAGGCCACATATTCAGGGCTGCCAGCTGTTACGTTTTTCGCATTTTAAAGAGTGGTAGGCAATTTGCAGAACTGCCAACAACTACTACTCTTTTTGCAAAATATTTCCACTAGTAATCGCTTTTAAACTATCCTCTAGCTATTGAATCTTGAATTCATTACAAGTTTAAGTTTACTTTTGTCGATCTACTAAACAGCATCGGAAGTTATTTAGGACTCCTCCAACTTGAAATGTAGCTACTAATTTGGAAAAAAATTTCGACGTAAGAGACGGAGGGAGCATCTTTTAAATATTTGCTAATTGTAAAGAAAATTAAAACAGATATTTAAAACTCTTTTTTTAAACATAAAATCAAATTTATATAAAATAATTTTAACACTATGTGATTACTTTACTGCTAATTATTCCAAATGCCCACCAAGGCAATGCAAGCCTAGCAGTATACGCTAAAGCCGCAGAAATATCAGAATCAATGACAGCAACGCTACTGCTCCAGCTGTTCTGTTAGACTTCTCATTATTATTAGGAACTGGAGTAATTAGATCAAGGTTGAAGTTGTCTTTAAGATACTACAAGAACTCTCGAATTTTCACAACTTAAATAAACACCACGTTAATCACCCAAAACCCTTTTCTTCAGTTATTCATCTGCAGGGTTGGCACGGGCGACTAGAAACTCAAGAATGGTGACTAGCAAAATTCAAACTTTTATTAAAAAATATTAAAATTAGCGACTTTTTTATCATATTTTTTTCAGTTTACTATCAGAATGCGTATGTATTACAATTGTTGAATGGTTATTTGTTTTGTATTGTATCAATGTATGTAAATATCATCAAAATCAGTCCAGTAGTTCTAGAGATAATCGACCAAGTCTGCAAATTCTCTTAACTTCGTACACCAGTGTGGTGAGTTGGAAGAAAAAAAAATGCTACAAAATGCCACTAATTGTATTTTCTTTTAATAAAATTTAGAATGCTTTAAAATTTAGAATCTAGTCAGCACTTTTTGCATTTTTTGTCGCCCGTTTCAACCCTGCCAGCTATCGCATTAAACTACTTATCTTCCTATGAATAGTAAAATCACCAATCAGGGTGCCAATCTGCTAAATTGCATCCGAAGTCCTTTATGACTCCCCCTATTTGAAGTGTAACAACTAATTTGGTACAAAATTTTTGACCCAAACGTAACAACTAATTTCGGACGGAGAGAGTATATATATTAAATAATCTGTAGAATAACTGATTTCTTCAGAATAATGAATCTAGAACAACTGATTTCTTCAGTAAAAATATTCTGTGGAATAGCTATAATTTTTGCTGTAACATTTACTTGAGTGATTAAATAGCATTTTAAAATACTCGGAGTTGTGCTTTGGATAAAAATTTAAAAAAAACTATTTTAACCAAGATGATCCCCTTGCTTCTAGAAGAGCTTGGAAGATTCTCTGATGCTTCAGTTTGCGCCAGTCATTGACGGAGTATTCCTATTGGACCAGCCAAATATAAGGCTTCAACAAGAGGGTTCACTGTCATCAGTACCTGTCATTGTGGGAGTGACAAGAGATGAGCTTGAAGTATGGATGACAAAGTGTTAGTAGATATAATAATTTAGACTATATAATTAGCATCACAATCAGCATCACAGCATCATATTTTTTGTGTGTTTTTTTTTTTAGTAGTTATAAGATAAGCTATACTCTGTTACAAGTTGAGAAAAAAAACCTATTGCAGTGTAGAATTTAAGTAATCATTCGCGATTGCATATAGTTCCGTTTTATTTAGAAATCAAATTAAATGAATATGCTTTCAAAACAATATAAAAGTTAAACTCACCGGACGGAAATTTAATTCATGCTATCTTCTACGATATATGTCATATANCGCTATATGTTGAGCCACCTCTTCTAGATTTGCCATGTGACATTTTTAGCAGCAATAATTGGTGGATTTTCTAGCGTTGCCATTCGGGGAGTTGTAATAAGGCTTTTTATTGGTGCCGTGTAAGGGAAATATATATATAGATATATATATAATCAGTCCTACAATCGTAATTGTTTTTCATCGCATTTTTTTTAAAATTAAAGTTGTAGCTATAGAGAAAAGTTTGCACATTCTTTTCTTTTTTTTCTTCAAAATATGAAATTGCTAACAAATTACGACAGTAATAGCTGCTTATGAAAGGTTATGGCGGAGGGAAGTAATCCTGACATACCTTGAGATTTTGAAGAGAAAAAAATTCAACTTTTGAAATTACATAGTTTATTTTTCCTCGTTCTCATTTTTTTCTATACTTTGAATTTTAAATTAATAATGCAGAGAGCAGAAAATTTGCAATGGAGGATATGTCTCGCGGAACTGGGTCATAAAGATTTTTATTAAACGCATATTTCTCATTTTTTTGTATTAATATAGGTCAAAATAAGTGAAAAATATAGTATTTGACTTTTTAATAATTTATGATTATGAAATGCAGCCGGAAACAGTGTCTTTTTCTGAGTTAAAGGTAAAATCTTCCACTCACTTCCAAGCAATTTTTTTTTTCTTCAAATTTTCACTTTTTCGCAACTATTCGCTTATTTGCAATTATACAGTTATTCATCATTGAAATTTCTTTAATTTACAAAATGAGTTATTGATAAATTTTTGAAGATGAATGATTATGTTGAATAAAAAATTGAATTTACTCTTTTTTTTTTTTTTTTTTTTTTTTTGGATTTTATATTTTAGTACGAATATAATTCCGATAATAAGACTTTTAAGTAACTACTAAACTGTTTAGTAACTATTAGGCGGCCTGCACATGTTATATGGTAGTTGCGTATATGAAGGGGGGGGTTGTTTTGTAAATTCTTTGTGGTTGCGTCTTTTTTTTTTTTTTTTAATTTGTAGAAAGAACCGTAAGCGAAAAGCGTTAATTATTCTAATTTTCAGTTCAAACACAATAAAAACACAAATTTTTAAATTTCGTTGCATAACAGACATTTGGAAATAATAAGTTACTTTCGCAACAACAACATCCAAAAAAAAAACTTATAACCATCCGTGAGCTCTCAAATTCGACTCAAAATATGGCCATCGCTTTTACCGATGGCTCTTCAGACTCTAGTCTTGACCGAGGTAGTGCTGGCATCTTTTTGACCTATTCTAATAACAAATCTGAATCACACAAAATTTCTGTTGGTAAAATTGCTTCAAACTACACCTGCGAGCTGGTAGCTATAAAGGAGGCTTTGAGCCTCTACAACTCCAAGGCAATCCAAAATTCCAATGGATTTTTGTTATTCTCGGACTCTCGCTCTGCCCTCCAGGCCATTTTAAGAGGAGACTCCCAACTCACCCAAGATATCATCCTACTTTTAAACGAAATAACCGCGGCCCAAAGAACTTGTATCCTTCAATACAAAAAAAATAATACAAATGGACAAGACAACAACAACATCCAAAAAACCTTACACCGAATCTATTGGTCGTTCCATAAAACAATAGCTTCTCACACACCAGGTAAAATTTAAAAACTCGTAGTTTGTAACTATCAGAATATTTTATTTATTCGAAGTAAATATATTCAAAGGCATGATTAACTTACGCTACTTCTCTAAAATGCAAACTAATGTCAAAAAATTGTAAACGTTATTATGATAAATTTGATAGTGGTTTGCGAATTGATGGCTGATGACAGATACATACTTGCCAACAATTAAGCTTTTCTAAAAAAGTGTTTTCCCCAGTGGTAGGGCAAAACTTTTAACACGTTGAATATTTTGCATAGATGCCAACTGCTCCGGACGTGCCATAATCATTTAAATAACGGTAAACAACTACATACGAATATTTGCAAATATTCGACTAATTTTGTTTACTTTTTAAACGGTGTCGCGTGGCTATATGTAAAAAGTGGCGAATTATATAAGCCTTTGAATTATTTAGAAATAGTGGTGAATAAAAACCAAATTAATTGAATTTATTAAACCAAGATTCATACATTAATAAACTACCATTCTATAATATTTATTTGCTCTCCGGAGCAAGTTGGCATCTCTGGGTTTGAGAAAATGAATGCAATATAAAACACACAAAAATAGTTTTATTTATTTACACAGAAATGCCAACTTGCTCCGGACAGCGAATAAATATTTTCAAGTGGTAGTTCATTAATTGTGATTCTTGGTTCAATAAATTCAATTTAGTAGATTTTTATCCACCACTATTTCTAAACAATTCGCAAGCTTATTTACTTCACCACTTTTTCAGATAAGTCATGCAAAACCTTTAAAAAAATTAGCAAAATCTGACAAATTTGCCAATTTAGTTTGCGTTCGGCCAGACGGACAAGCCATGTAAAATTAGCATGGCATTCAACGTGTTATTTTGAGATTGAATGCCGGTGTTTCGTTCAAATTTAGCCAACACATTAAAGCACTTTTAGAGAACTAGCAAGCTGACTATTTGTATGTTTAATTTATTTAAATGTAATGATTGTTAAACTCCTTTTAAACAGCATTTATTACAAAAAAAAGAGAATAATATGTGACTTGCCATTGCCACCATTCTAAATATAAAAATAAAATCTTCCACAAAAGTTGGCTGGTATATTAGATAATAATATAGAGAATCATCATTTGACATCTTTTCAGATTAGAAATTTCTATAGAACAAATTTTTCCACGTTCGTTTCAAAACATAATATGAACATTTTTAAAAGATGTAGTCATGAGGTGAAAAAAAAAGATTTATGTTAATATGAGGATATTTTCATTGCCCTAGGTTTTTCTTATTTTAGCCTATCAAGACAAAGATCCATCATCTATACCATTTACAAAAGATTTGCTGAGGAAGTATCTTCTCCATTTAGTACGCAATGATCGTTTATCCGATGTTGCCGAAGATGTTTTGCTGCATGCCGTGTACACTGAATATGTTTATGAGCATGGGACAACTTCAAATCACAAAAAGAAAAGAAAAGAACAGCAAAAAATGAGCANATTTTTATGCTAGTGAGAACCAAAACAATATGGAAATGAATGAGGGAAAACTGGATCGTACCAAGTGATTTCCCGGCCAATATAAATGTAGCGTTAAACGTTTAACGCAACCTTGTTGGAAGTCGCATAAGAAGTATAACTTCAATAATATGGAGAATCATTATTCGACATCTTTTCAGATTAGAAATTTCTATAGAACAAATTTTTCCACGTTCGTTTCAAAACATAATATGAACATTTTTAAAAGATGTAGTCATGAGGTGAAAAAAAAAGATTTATGTTAATATGAGGATATTTTCATTGCCCTAGGTTTTTCTTATTTTAGCCTATCAAGACAAAGATCCATCATCTATACCATTTACAAAAGATTTGCTGAGGAAGTATCTTCTCCATTTAGTACGCAATGATCGTTTATCCGATGTTGCCGAAGATGTTTTGCTGCATGCCGTGTACACTGAATATGTTTATGAGCATGGGACAACTTCAAATCACAAAAAGAAAAGAAAAGAACAGCAAAAAATGAGCAATGGCACACTTCTTTATCATGATAATCAGTCTTCAGTATTACCAGATATTAGAACTCTAGGAAAGGTGAGTAGCAAATTTTATAAGAACTTTGTCACTGTTTAAGAGGTCCAGGATGATGCCAACACTAATTAATAATATATTTTATTGGCAAAACAAAATTAACAATGTTATATGATTAACAAACAGAAAAACTTACATCCAGATCTCGAACTTGAAAGGAAACTAATATAGAAGTTTTTGGTGGAGGTTCTCCAATGGTGGTATAAAAGTTTCAGTTCTGATTTTAACTTACCACAATGACGTAAAAGTTTCAGTTCTGATTTTAACTTACCATAATAACGTAAAAGTTTCAGTTCTGATTTTAACTTACAACAATAACGTAAAAGTTTCAGTTCTGATTTTAACTTACCACAAACTTCATCTTAATTCAGTTACACTCTTCAATAATAGCAGAATCTAAGTGAACTATAGTTTTCTTTAGACATAATTTTGCAGCAATCGAGATCTTTCAAAATATGCCTCTTTTTTTACGTTTGAAACGTTTTATTTCATACCAACTCATTTATGCCTAGTATAAATTGATTTTAACCCTTTACACTCCGAGTACTTTAAAATGCTGTTTAAACAAATGTAAGCACTAAACCATTTAACATACATAATTTTAAAAATTTATAAAATATTGACTTAGAATTGTTCTGGTTACTCAGTACTAACAACGCCTCCTATAACTGAAAGCTTCCACACGGTTTTCATAGGTTGTCCGATCAGACCACTATGAAGGCAAACAAGTGAAGGCAGCCATTTAATGCAAAATCCAGTAAAAATAAAAAAGTGGTAGTAAATATATATCTAAAATGAATTTATGAATATGATTAGTTTGTCTTATGTACTTGTCAATCACTACAAATTCAATTCTCAAATATGTAAGATAAATTTCTCTTAAATACTTTTAAAATAGAAATTGGGTTCATGCGCACAACTGGTTCACTTTTTTAAATAGCCTGCGCAGAATACTTCTAAAAAACCGTGTGGAGGTTGTTGTTGTAGTTCATTTACGTCGCACTAGAGCTGCACAATGGGCTATTGGCGACGGTCTGGGAAACATCCCTGAGGATGATCCGAAGACATGCCATCACAATATTGATCCTCTGCAGAGGGAAAACCGTGTGGAAGCATTCTGATGTAAGAGGTGATGGTACTAGCCCTGGTGGGTTCTTACTGATTCATGAGATCTGACATGCCTTCAAAAAATAAGTTAGGTATATTGTCTAGAATTTATTGGAATTATGTACATTTGCTCGCTTGTGTGCTCAATTTAGGCTTATTAACCTTTGTCAAATAGAAGGGTATATAGATACAGAGAAAGACAACTCGAAGATACATCCTGGGTAACAGCGGGATTTGAACCCGCTATCTCCACGATTTGCACAGAGTTTGGCTGGCGATACCGCTTGGCCAGGGAGGCCCATCTAGAATTTCGTTCGTTCGTTGTAGTGAAACTGGGCGTCTGAGGGCCATTACGGACCTTTTCCCATTCATCCTGAAATTAGACTAAGAAACATACATGTCAAAAGTAAAGTTTAGGGCGCAAAATGGAGTTCGTGAGAGAGAAAAAAAGGGCACTTTGTCATTATTAGGTAATAACAAAATTACAAGTAATAAAAAAGTACATGAAAAAAGGTAAAATTAAAGTACAATGAGAAAATAANGGACCTTTTCCCATTCATCCTGAAATTAGACTAAGAAACATACATGTTAAAAATAAAGTTTAGGGAGCAAAATGGAGTTCGTGAGAGAAAAAAAGGGCACTAATAACAAAATTACAAGTAATAAAAAAGTACATGAAAAAAAGTACAATTAAAGTACAATGAGAAAATAAACACTAATGAATATTTACAGTTTGGGAATGTATACAAAGGGGGGACGAGTTAAAGGAATGTGAGGATGTGTGTAAGTAAGTGTGTCTTTGTTAAAGTAAAGACCCGACCGTCCTGGTAATCACCACTCGTGCCGGGTTGCTCTCTACACTTAAATTACAGAGATTAGCTTACCCCTGTTATTTTAATAATCGAAGGACATTTTAGTAAGGAGGAGGGGGGAGGATTTTAAGACACCGTTATAGCACAGTACGCATTTCCCAAAACGCATTTTAACTTAAAAAAATCAAACCCTTAAAAAAGATCTTTGAAATTTCGTAACTGAAATTTCATAACACAATAATATCCTAAAAAAACACTGAAACAAAATTTAAGTTGAGGCACTAATTTCGCTTTAGTGTTTTTTTCTTTTTGATTTTTAGGATGTTATTTCCAGTTGCAAACTTTTTGAGCATCGCCTGTTGTGGTATTTCCAAGATAACATTTTTATGTTATTTCGGATTAATTTTTTTCAAATTTCTCCTCTGGTAATCCTTTCAGTTCTCTTATGAGGTTATAACTTATTTCGTTTTATTTCAGCTTAAAAAAATTTTTCTTCAAATATTCTTCCTGTTGTGACATTAGCAGCTTGGCGCTGTCGCAACTTAGAGGAATTATGTATTATATACCTTTTCTCTTCAATTTTATAACACCCAGACAGGTACCTGGAAACGGCCGCATAATAAATCCAAATTTTACCTGGTACCCAAAACCAGTTCGGAAAAAGATTCAATTTTCACCGAATATTTTCGGACCCAACAAATTTCATGACTTGATGCACTTCTTATGAATTCTAACAAATATTCCTTTTTTTTTCCTAGATTATCAGTGATATTGACCTTAAAGCACCATCTGTAAAGTTAGTGAACTTACTGGCACTTCATCCTAACACATCAGTCTACATGTATGAGTTCGATTATGCTAGCTCTGATGACGTCATCGTCTCTAAGTATGTAGGTGCGAAAAATGAGTGGGTAGGTGAGTTGCAGATGATGGTATTTGCTACTGCATCTAACCCATGTTTCTATTATTTATTTAGTTTATAATTAGCTCATAGATATATAGCACTACTGAGTTTACAGGAGACAAAAATTTTCATAAAATCTAATCATGTTTAGCAGGTAAGATTTTTTTTTTTACAACTCCAGTCTAAAATTTATTTAAACTATCGAAAATTCGATTTGAGATTATTTATTTTTGCATTAATTACATATTTTTTATATCCCTGTAGTCCCTCATTCAGAAAGTTTTATAATCTCGATACTCTTTAAAAGATGCAATAAAACGAAACAGAGAACTACCAAACACATATCCGGAACCAATAATTTTTAAACAACTGATTGGCAACGAAAAAGCTGCGTATTTGATTGTAACAAACAAAACAAAATGGAAAAAAAATCATAAACAATTTAGGAAAATTCAAGAAAAAAGTGCTTGATAGTTACTCGCGAAAAACTTATCAATCAGTTTTTCATTTACATTTCCGAATTCGCATACGCAATTGCTTTTGCATACAGTGAGAATTGTTCTTTAATCACAGAAAGCGAATTATGCGAATTTTTCATAAAAATAATGAGATTTTGCTTTACGTTTTCCTTACATTCACTGTAAGATTAACCTTATTTTCTAACCTCTAGCGATTCTGTGATTTGTTGGAAATTTCCGTGCCTGCGTTGCAAAGCTCAAATAGCACTTGCACTACTTCGTATGTACGTTTTGTTTTGTTCGTACCGAAGATGGAGTTAAAAGACCAGCGTCTTCAAAAACTAAAAGACGTGTAGTAAAATTTTTTTAGCGGTTGCTTGAAAACTTACTTCTCTACCTTTTCAGTCTAATATTCTGAGAACAGAAATCCCTGTTAGAGATTCTCTAACAGAAATAATTCTTTTTAAATAATTGGAAAGATAAAGAGGTGAGATTTCGATTGTTCTTTGATAAATTTTGCAACCTGATTTTGATCGTTTAATATATCGTATTGTCAATATATCGTACCAAAGCTTGAGTCAAAAGACCAGCGTCTTCAAAAACTAAAAGACGTGTAGTAAAATTTTTTTCACGGTTGTTTGAAAACTTACTTCTCTGCCTTTTCAATCTAATATTCTGAGAACAGAAATCCCTCTTAGAGATTCTTTAACAGAAATAATTCTTTTTAAATAATTGGAAAGATAAAGAGATGAGATTTCGATTGTTCTTTGATAAATTTTGCAACCTGGTTTTCAGTTTTCTGAGGATGGTCACCTTATGCTTGAGACAGGCACATAATATGGAACTAAATGCTATTTTTAACATATTTTACAGTAAACAAAACTAACGAATAAATGCTTACAGCATTTTTTGAAGATATGTAGGTGAGATGACGAATCAATGACTAAGTCCGTTTTTTTTTTTTTTTTTTATAATTGATATCTAAGTCAATATATTTTATTTATCCAAAAACTACTGTTGTACTCAGAGACATGTAGCTTAATAATAAGTTATAGTTCGGCTTTCTGTAGTAAAAAATATCGATATTTTATGATCAAAGCAACAGTTTTAATTTGAACACCTTATTTGAAATATGGGATCACTCCAATTTAATTCATTTTATTTAATCCATTTTATTCATTCCAGTTTAACCAGTTTAATTCACAGAGACTTATGATCTAATAATTATTAAAGTCTTGTTTACATTGAATAGCAATGAGCTGGAGGCGTAGTAGTTTTGAAATAAGATAGAAATGACTTTTTCAGAAACATGAAAGACAGGCTAACTTAATTTTTCTATAAACGAAATCTCGCACTATACAAGGGGAAAATATATATTTTATGATCAAAGCAACTGTTTTAAATTGAAGACCTTATTTGAATTGTGGGATTACTCCAGTTTAATTCATTTTGCGATACAGAGGCTTAAGATCTAAGTGAATAATTAAAGCCTTGTTTGTATTGAATAGAAATGAGCTGGAGGCGTAGAATTTTTTAAATAAGATCGAAATGACTTTTCAGAAACATGAAAGACAGGCTAACTCAATTTTTTCTATAAATGAAATCTCACACTATTCAAGGAAAAAAAAACATATTTTACGATCAAAGCAACTGTTTTAAATTGAAGACCTTATTTAATTGTGAGATTAGTCATCACCTCCTACATCAAAAAGCCTCCACACGGTCTTTTATAAGTAGTCCGCGCAGACTATTTAAAAAGTGAACCAGTAGTGCGCATGAACCCAAAACCTTTTATAAAAGTACCGATTTACCGATTTAAAATTTAATTTTCAGTGCTCCTAGCCCGCAGGGCTATCTACACTTTCATCGAATAGTGAGAAAACAATAAGGGGGTCAGGGGGCGTGCAGGCGTTCTGCATATAAATGAGATAAACAGTTTAGAATTAATTGGCGCCAACACGGGCGCAGTCTGGGTTAAATATATACACATAATAAAGTGAATTTATAAAAGTAATTGAGAGTAATTTATCATACATATGTGAGAATTGAATCTGTAGTGGTAGACAAGTGAATGAGGCAAACTAATAATATTCATAAATAAAACAAATTTTTAGTTACATATTTGCTACCACTTTCTTATTTTAACTAGATTTGTATTAAATGACTCGTTCGGAAAGTGGATATCCTTTACAGTGGTCTGATCGGACTACCTTTAAAAAACCGTGTGGAGGCTTTCAGTTTTAGGCATATCCTCCAACTTATGAGGATTTTGAAAATAATTCTGTCTAGTGGTAGCGAACCAAAGTAGAAATTTTTAAAGCAAATGTATCTCTCATAAAACTTTTATCAGAACTTAAGAATCTAGCCATATGGCCTGCACTTTTATAAGTAATAGTGGACAAGTTACGCAAAAATTAATTTTTTTTAAATATTAAGACATTAATTTTGCTACCGTCAGAAAAGAAGATTTCTGAAACTACGGAAATTCCGTAGCAGTTGGAGGGTTAAAGTAGACTAATCCAACGCCTCCTATAACTTATAGGAGGCGTTGGATTAGTCTACTTTAATTCATTTTGCGATAAAGAGGCTTAGGATCTAGTGAATAATTAAAGCCTTGTTTGCATTGAATAGAAATGAGCTGGAGGCGTAGTAGTTTTGAAATAAGATAGAAATGACTTTTCAGAAGTATGAAAGACAGGCTAACTCAATTTTTCTAAAAACGAAGTAGCACAACATTCAAGGGAAAAAATCTATATTTTATGATCAAAGCATCTACTTTAAATTGCAGACCTTATTAGAATTGTGGGATCACTCCAGTTTAATTCCAGTTCGGTTAAACAATAAATTTTTTGAAGAAAATAATGTATTTTCCCTTTAAAAATTCTGATCATACAGTTTTTATGTAATTTGTGCAGCTTTAATCGAAGTAACGTAACATTAAATTTACTTTTCCATTAAATTTATCTAATAGTCTAGGATTATTATATAGTTTAAAAGCATAGGTAGGTAATATTTTACTAAATTTAAAAGGTAGGTAATATTTAATTTAATTCAAAGCGTAAGTTTAAGAAAAATAATAACTTTTATTTAAAAAAAACACTAACAATAGTTTTCTAAAATTTTCTTCCTTAATAACTGTAGTTGACACATGTGCTGGCGCAATGAAAAAAGTATTGAAGGTACCTTATGAAGATGCTTTCGAAACGTGCAAACGTATGTTCCCGAAATCGTATGAGCGAAGTCTAACTCCAGTAGGTGAGACTTATCCTAGCTAGACTTTGGAGGTCTTAAATTCACCTTTTTTGTTATTTAAATTACTAAAAAAATTGATTAAATAAAAGTCAATGGCATACAACGCATGTGTAAGTAAACAGCAATGTGCTTACAACTTTTGACAAGGTCCCACTGTTGTAAAATTGTTTTTTTTTTTTCTTTATAAAATGATTTGCATATTCAGTTTATCTGTTAAAACAAGATTTTTCTTTCCTAAATTTTTAATTTATCATATATTTATAAATAAAACTTAAGATTTTGTCTAACTCGGGAAGGACAAAGTTATCGTATTTAAACTTTGGTTTTAAATAAATATTTTTAATTGCTTCACGCTATTGATGGCAGGTAACGCATGTTTTAAGTGAACAATGACGCTGAACTTTAGAAAAGATTCCGTTGTTTGTTAAGACTATACTTCTTCATTTTCAAATTTCAAATTTATCTCCCATCTTTATCATTCAAATTTCATATGTCTAACTCTAGTAGGTGAGACTTATCCTAGCTAGACTTTGGAAGTCCTAAATTACAACTCTTCTTTTTTTAATTGCTTAAATAAAAGTCAATGGCATACAACGCATGCATATAAGAAAGCAATAAATAGCTCACTTTTGACAAGATCATTTTGCAGTAATAAACGAATTCCATTATAAAATATATTGCATTTTGCGTTTATTTGTTAAAACAAGATTAATTCATTTCCAAATTTTAAGTTTGTCTTATCTTTATCATTCAAAATTTCATATCTCGTCTAACTTCAGTAGGTTAGATTTATCATAGCTAAACTTTGGAGGACATAAGTGAAATATTTTTAATAGCTTTAAAAAAAATCAATGGTTGGCAACATATGTGTAAGTAGACAACGATGTGCTTATAACTTTTGACTAGATTCTATTACAGTTAAATTGTTTGTTTGTTTCTTTATCATAAAATGTACCGCAATCTGCGTTTGTTCATTAAAAGAAGATTTTTCATTTATAAATTTCAAAATTATATTACATTTTCATGCATCGTTTAAATTCATTAAGGTCAAACTTATCTAGCCAAGCTTTGGACAATAACAGGCAACTTATGTATAAGTAAACAACAACTTGCTTAACTTTTAACAAAATTTTATTACAGTAAAATTATTTTTTCCCTTATAAAATGCATTGCATATTGAATGAGTCGGTTAAAACAAAATTTTCTCACTTCTAGATTTCAAATTTATTACGTTTGCATCATTCAATTTTCGTATTTTGTCTAACCTGAAATTTATTGTAAGCTGAAATTTATGCTAAGCTTTCAATTTCTTAAATGGCTTTTTGTTAAATGGACAAAAATATTACTTTAAAAAAGCCAATTATGTAACGTATGAGTAAGTAAACGATAACGTGCTACATACTTATGATAAGATTCAGTTGTAGTATTTTTTCCTCACAAAATGTATTGCTTTTGTGTGTAAACACAAGATTTTTCATTCATGAATTTCAAATTTATCTTATCTTCATCATTCTGAATCTACTTAACGAAACAAAGCAAAAATGTAAGAGACTCTACTGATAACTACTCTAATAAACCAGAATATAAGAAAAAATTACTTTTAAATAATGCCAATGTAACTTAAGCAACTTTCTGAGTAGAAAAAAGTTTTAAAATTGCCATTTATATCATTAATGGAACATACCTACTGTGTAAGATCTATGAAAAATTAGATTGAAAGAAGCCTTTCAAGTGCGCCTGAGAAAGAATCTTCAAACCCTACTTTAAACGAGAGCTCCTTTACATATTTGCATTATTGAAGCTGTACAGTCAGCAAAAAAAAAACGAATCACCCTGAATAACTTTCGTTCTAATGATCGGATTTTCACGAACTAAGTGTCAATCTTNTTAAACAAGTGCAAACATTATTTAATTCAAACGATGTATGTTTTATAGATTCTAATAAATTTTTAATTTAAATTCTTACCTCTCTAAGTTGACAGCATGAAAAGAAAAATATTTCCTGAAAGGTATTAGATATCTGTCTTTCGTAATATACTTGTTTTTCTCTTGCATTCTACATTATTTAATTCAAACGATGTATGTTTCATAGGTTCTTACCATGAAAGTGAACTTTATTACATTTTTGGCTTTCCACACATGAATCTGAGTAATGCTTTAAGACTACCACAAGACAGAGAAGTATCCGATATAATGATCCAACTGTGGACAGACTTCGCAAAAACAAGGTATACAATCTATAGATTAAATTAATAAAATTTATGCAATGAGATCTGTGAATTTGGGCATCTTTGTAAGTTGACTGCCTGTCTGAGTTTACCCAAAACCAAATGTATCCTACGCAATGAAGGAGAGCAATACTTTTGTAACTTGATCAACGGTATACCTCCATCTCGTATGCTGATCACTGAAATAAGTCTAATTTGTCTAGGAGGATAATTAAATGCTATTCTGAATCCTTTAGCAGTTGACCGGAAAAAAACTTTTTAATAAGCTTTCTCTGCCTTTATGTAATGACGTAGAATTTCACTGATATGGTAAAATGATATATAGAACTAACATAAACCTCGTTATGAGTTGGTATTAAACGTACATAATAACCTTTAATGGATACGTTCTAATTCTTATACAATGATGTAAAAAAACTACGACTCATCTCCCTCTATAAGTTCATACCACCTGTCTAAGTTAACCATTTTTACAAACGACGTTGAACAGCTGACCCAATTCTGAATTAACGACTATCAATGTTCAACCCCGTAGCCTTGTAGTTTTGAACCCAACCCAGAATACAAAAACACTCCTGGATCAAACAATGGGAGAAACTAGAAGTCATTAAGAACTTTTTCATGAAATTAACATGCATTTGTGTCACACTTGGAGAAGAAAACCACCCGCGACAGCATTGTGCTGTCGGTACAAATCGGGTGCGAAGTTCGAATCAACCATTCGAACCCGGTTCACCTTATTAAGATGTGAGTGCTCAATCCCCTGACCCTTCTTCCTTAAGAATTTTATTTTATTTTATAACCATCGTTGAACAGCAAACCCAATTTTTGGGGTTTAGAACTACTAATGTTCAACTCAGTAGCCTTGTAATTTTGAACTAAATCCAGAAGACAAGGGAACTCCTGTATCAAGTATTGGGAGAAAATTTGCCTTCGTGGAGGACCTTTTTGATTGAACTAGCCCGCATTTGCGCATAGTTCGACGGCAAAGGGATTCTAACCCATGATCCGTCTACCACTGAAGATATTTTACGTCAGCACTGAGGTCTTTGCCAGCTTAGAGCAGAATTCGTATCTATCATCCACCGTTGGGATTCGAACCTGGATCACCTAATTAGGAGCCAAATGAACCTGAGCCGAATCCCCTGAACCAACGTGGCTTTCAAGTAACCATTAAGGCAATACATCATGAAAGATTGACCTACACAGGTTTCACTGCAATTAAAAATCAAAAACTTCGTTTACTTTTCTGTTGTCGAAATGGCCGAAAAGTCGGCATGTTTTGAACGTCCATAACACGACGCTCCTTTTCAGGATGAATGATAAAAAAATTTTATTGTAAAACAGGTTAAAAACAAGAAAAATCAACGTTTCCCATGTCTAAGAAGAATGGAAAAACTAATGAGGGAAAAAATAGAAATTACGGTAAATAATTGACAGGGATCGAAGAGAGCAAATCAGGGCAGAATGAATTTTCAAGCTTAATTCAGGAGTAAGAAAAAACTGATATCCTTCATTATAGATTCAACGTTGGTTTGAATGGAAAAATATTCAAAAGTATCTAGATAAATTGATGTGTCTGAAAGGGAAAAAAAGAGTTTTGGCCTTAGAGAAATTACATTGATGGCCAAGATTCCACTAATATGCTTCAATCAAGAATTAAGAAGAGTTAAAAACCTTTACAAACTAACTAAAACTTTTTATAAAGAAGAGTTAAAACTTTTTACAAACGTTGATCTATCTAAATCCATTTACCGATTCACCGTTGTAAACTACTTTAAGAAAATGAACTGAACGTTTTCCATTTTTCTTCGATCAAGCTTTCGGGTCGCGAGAATGTTCGATCATGAATCTTTTGCACAGGATTCTATGACCGGACATAGTCATCACCTCCTACATCAGAAAGCCTCCACATGGGTTTTTATAAATAATCTGCGCAGATTATTTAAAAAGCGAACCAGTTGTGCGCTTGATCCCAAATAATATTTTAAAAGTAATTGAAAGAAATGTATCAGATATATTTGAGAATTGAATCTGTAGGAGTTGATAAGTAAATAAGACAAATCAATCACATTCATAAATTAAACAAATTTTGTGACATATATTTTCGACCACTTTCTAATTTTGAATAGATTTTCTAATAAATGGCTCTTCTATTAACTGGTTTACCTTCATAGTGGTCTGATCGGACTACCTATAAAAAAATTTGGGGAGGCGTTGGTGCTCACCTAGTAACCAATATTTGAAAATATCATACTAGTCCTAGCATAAATCTTTTGCTAACCCTTTTTTTCTTCCTAAAGATCATCACTACAACGCGTTTTTTTAACAGCAGTCTGGTGTGTTTAAGCTTCTAAAATACGAATTGCAACCCGTGTTAAGCTAATTAATGTTGTCTTTCGTAGAAAAATTTTAATATTTTGCGTAGAGGTAGATCAAAATTATTCCAGTGTACGCAATTTTACTTAAATCATTCCGTATAAAAATATCACTTTTAAAAAAATACACACAGAAATTAAAAAGAAATCTTCAGTCAGATGAATTAGAGCTCCTAGCGGGGCTGATACTAAGATCTTTAATTCAAATAGGAATTGTGAATAATGACACGTCAATTTGTTTTTAACAAAAGTGAAAGAGCGTTAACCTTTGTTATGTTTAAACCCTTAATCCAATTAGCTCCAATATTCTCATTTTGTGTTTAAGCCTAACATAAATTTTGGAAAATTACCCGGGATCCTTGTTTTTAATTCCCTACATTTTTTTTACAAAATTAAGACATTTGGGTCCAGCATAAAAGATTATTACGTAACCTCCAACTTTTGAAGTTTTAGCAAAATATTTTTTCAGTGGTTGTGAACTAGAGCCGAAATTTTTAAAACAAACAAAATTTTTATAGAATTTATACATCACATTTTAAGAATGAAACCGAGCTTATCTAACCATTGATATATCTGCTTAACTAATTTTATACGCAGTACTTTCACAATTCTAATTTAATAAAAATCATTACAAATTGCCTATGCTACCACTAATAAAAATAAGTTTTAAAAAGAACGTAAATTCCGCTGTGGCTAAAAAATATATTATTAAAATAAATATCTTTATATTGTTAAATAAATAATTCCATGAAACTGAATTTGTATAATATTACTTAATTAAAAACCTTCACTCACTTTAAAAATATATAGATAAGATACAACAGTCATCATGTTTCAAGCGCTCAAAAACAGGCGCATATTTTCAAGACTTGTCAAAGATGATTGAAAAATAAATGAAGGTAAAAATAATTCTATTGATTTGCCAAGACTTAAACATACTATTGTTTTCTGTTCTGTTCTGTTTAGTCTAGCTGGGCTCCTGAGGCCAATAATGGCCCTTTTCCCATTCATCCTGTAATGAGAACTTAAGCAAAAACAATAGTCAGATTACATGAAATGTAACGATTAAATGGTGTATGTTAAGGTAGAGAAAAAAGAATGGCACTTTGCCATGGTAATAAGAAACAAATAATTGAATGTATAGAAAAATACAATACAAATTTATGAGTAGGGGAACAATATTTACAAGAAGAATAACTATTTACGAAATATGAGAAGAGTTAGTAAAATTCAAGATGAGAAACGACAAGATCATAAAAAAATTCATTAACATAAAAGTGTACCTCTGTTTAAGTAGAGATCCTGGTTATTACACTCCTGTCGAATTTATGTAGCCCTGATCAGACCCACAAGGGGTTGCTCTTTCACGGGGTTTCGACAATCTGTGTGTTTTAACTTAGTGCATGTTTTTAACTGTGAGAATAACATCAGAAGTAAAAAAGTGAGCCAAAGGTCTGATATTAGCATCTTCAACTAGGTTGATGCAGTCAAAAATTTTGTTGAAATCGGCGGTGTCACAAATTAATGCTTTGTAAAAGAAATTTCTGTTCAGTTTAACCCGTTTCGTTCCGAATTTATATATTGAAATGATACAAAAAGAGGTTTTATGGAAAAAGTGGTATAATTTATTTTCGAAATTAATTGTTTTGTCTACTGTTAGGGCATTCAAAAAGTCTTTGATAGATCAAAAAGAACTTGCTCCTTATAATNTTAGCTTACTTTTGGTTACATACTTAACCTTTACTAGAAATAAAGGGTCCGTTAAAGGGTTAATATTGATGACAAACAGCTGTTAAAACAGAAGCTTATCTTAAAATTGATTAGAACATCTGTTAAGCTTATCATTTGATATAGAAGCTTATCATTTGATATAGAAAGACTCGTTTGAGGCATTCTATATTACATATATGTTTTATATATTTGTTTGTAGTGGTAATCAAAATAATTTGAAATAAATTTAAAAATTCTTTCATTAAAATGAAATTTACAAGTTGTATTAACGTTTTAAATATGACAGACAATTCATAATAATTAGCGAATCTGTGTTTTTTTTTTTTTTTTTTTTTTTTTTTTTTTTTTTTTTTTTTTTTTTTTTTTTTTTTNCATTTTTTTTTTTTTTTGGTTTTTTTAAATTAGTCAAGTACGTTTATTTTAAATATATCTATATCTATTGCATTGCAGTAATCCAACTCCAAAGAAGACAGATCTCAATAATGTGGTTAAAAATTTCACTTGGACACCGTATACAGAAGACGAAGATTGTTTTGCTACTTTGGGCCTACAACCATTCATTGCCCGTTCATATGAGACAGAAAGAATGTCATTTTGGAATCATTTTATTCCACTGTTCACCGAATATCCGATTCACATAACTTCCAATCGTAGTGAAAGCAGCAGCACAGCTGAAAATTGCACAGCAGATATATTCGTGCTGTTCGCATACATTGGTTGGATACTTTTCTTCATTTGCTTTCTTTGCCTATCTGCGATGATGTATTTATACTTCTGTGGAAGGATCAAAATGAACGCCATGCAGAATTTGGCCATCCCTGTTTGACACTTGAGAAAGTGTCGCGACGATCAGAAAATGTGCACATCACTATTATGATGGAGATAAATTGAAGTGAAATGAAGAGGTTTCGGGAAATTTTATATTGAAATGAGAAGACATAAGTGAAAATGTTAATGTCCTTGTTCGAACTTGCTTATAATCTAAAATCATGCAACTGTAAAAAAAAAATCGAATTATGGAAACATATCGAATTATCGCCTAAATAGTATAAAGCGTTTTTAATCTATTTAAGAACAATATTATATACATAATACTCTAAAGCTTTATGTAGTCGAGTTTTTTTTCTAGTGTGCAAACTGAGCTTCTATTTTTCCTTTAACAGTCAGTGCACAAAGTTTTAAAGGAAAAAAAAGAATATCAATTAAATGCATACATTGACAATGCAGGATTCAAACAAAGCAAAACGAATGCAGCTGCAGTACTAACAGACTGGTATTAATACATATTCGTTACATATTCGTATGGAAACTCTTTAAACCATATCAACATTTTGTATTCTATATCCTGAACACATTGGCTTTAAATATACTCTGTATATGTATAAGGATATGAAATAACACTTCATAAATAAATGTAATAATACTTCGTAAGATATCAGAAATAATACTTTGTAAATATCATATAAGCTCTTTAAATAGTAACAGTATTTGGTAATCTTAAATCTAAACATGCTGGTATTAATAATACTTATACATACTTTTAAAATCATATAAACATTTTGTTATCAAAATCCTGAACACGCTGGTATTAGTAATACTTTAAGCATATGAAGGGTAATACTTCGTACAGACATGAAGATATGAAATTATACTTTGATACGTATATGATGGAAAGTCTTTAAATAATGCTATTATTTTGTAAACTAATTGTAACTAATTTTTAAAAAATTTATGTCATCAATACATAGGGATTTTCAAACTACGGCTCATGAATTTCAGCAACAGATCTGACATGCAAGTTATTGACTTGCGATCACGAGAACAACTTTCGCTACAAGCATACCCGTAAATAGCATAACTTATTAGTTATAACATGCACTGATTAATAAGTCACACGGATATTTCACTCCCACAAAATTATACTAGAAGTAAAAAAAGTCAGTTTCTTTTTTTCTCATTTGCTGGTAAGCCTCCATTCGATAGTTTTTCTCGTGACGATAAATCAATATCTGGTCCACTTCTCTTTATTTTTATTGTATTTTTATATCCAATAAAGATAGTAATTCTTACAAATATTAGTCTGAAATAATCCAATACTTAGTGAAGTGGAATATAGTAATTTTAATTGTTTGAAATTTGTCTCATAAACTCTCTTACTACAATATATTGGTACGGTAAGCTAATTAGCAATCAATTAAGTAAAATTACACAAAATGTTTTGCCAGGAGAGAGAAAAGAGTATTTAAATGCCCTAGAAAATGCTTTGTGGAAAGAGTACGGGAGAAATGTACTTTTGATCGCCGGCTGGGATCGAACCAGGAACTTCTGGGTACGTAGCTGAATCGGAACCACCACGAAAAAGGGCTGTACACCTTTCTATAGCAGCAACCACACACTCCCCATCCAGTGAACGAGAAATTATGACTCGTATTCATTCATGTAAAAGGTTCACGTGATTGAGAGGTCACTTCGTCGTCATTCAAGAGTAGTTTTGTCCTTGACGTTGTTTAAGATCCAGGTTTGCTTACCAAAGTGGAAGGAAGTCAAGTGATGTTTTGCTGCTATCTGTCAAGTAGTTAGATAGTCGATTGTTCGTTGTCGCTAATGTTGAGAAGTGCCGGGGGTGACAGTTGCTTGTCACCGGTTGGGAATCGAACCAGGAACTTCTGGGTGCGAAGCTGGGTCGGAACCATCATGAAAGAGGGTGTACACCTTTCCAGATTTCTATAGCAGCAGCAGCACACACCCCTTCCAGTGAACGAGAAATTATGACTCGTAATCAGCCATGTAAAAGCTTCACGTGATTGAGAGGTCACATTGTTGCAAGAAAAATCATTTTTTAAAAGCAGGTTGATCCTTGACGCTGTTTAAGATCCAGGTTTGTTTGCTAAAGTGGAAGAAGGTGAAATGATGTTTCGCTGCCATCTGTCAAGTAGTCAGATAGTTGATTGTTCGCTGTCGCCAATATTGAGAAGAGCCGGAGAGACATTTGATAGCGGCCGGTTGGAATCGAACCAGGAACCTTTTGTTCCGTAGCCGAACGCTCTAACCACTTAGAATAAGGGAATCTTTATATAGAAGAGCCCGGGGGAAAATTAACAGTCTTTTCTAAAGATGGGGGGAGGGGAACTGTTCCCCCTTAAATAACGCCATTGCTGGTCAGGTTTTGGCCTTTCGAGCTTTAATGGAGGAATCAGTGTGGTTTTTAAGATAAAAAAAAAAGACCCTGGGTTTATTACAAATAATTACATAAAACTTAACTAGTTACTCTGTGCAAAATTCTATACTTTACTATGTTCCTGTAAGGCTATTATTATTATTATTATTATCATCCTCATCATTATTATTCCGAAATTTAATTTGAACTCAAACTGTTTTGTAAAATTATCCTTGAAAATGAATTTATTTATTAGTAATTTTTCAAATTACTCTATTTATTAAACATTTTCAAATTTTTAATAGCAAAAATTATAAGAATAATATCCAATCATTTAGGGAAAAAAAATTATATCATAAACAATTTAAAAAAAATTTCGTATAAAGGAAAATATATTCAAGATTCATTTAAGTTCATGCATACGTTGTATTAATGAAAACAATAGTATATGTCGTTTTAAATTCAATTATTTTATTTAAAAAATTTAATATCAGCTCACAAAAGGAATTGCTTTAAGTTAAATTAAATTTACATTCACAAGAATTGTGCTTTAAAAAAGTAATTTTTCGTATCCTTTTTTTTTTTTTTTTTTTTTTTTTTTTTTTTTTTTTTTTTTTTTTNTTTTTTTTTTTTTGTATTTAACCATTTACTTGAAACTAAACTTTTAAATATAAGAACATAAAAACTTACATTTTGTCTGTAAATTGACGATGACATGAATGTTATATTTGCTTGTATTACTAAACTACATCTTGTATTATCAAATAAATTTTTGTGGAAATAAAGTTATTGAACTCTTCTTTTTCACTATTGATGACACTTGTAAAACTCTTCAAAAAAATTCTTTATTCTTTAACTCTTTAAAAAAATTTTAAAAATTTCTCAGATATACTCATTATAAGGCATATAGGAATATTTTAACTAAGTTAAGCATGTGGCACACTTTCATGGCACAGAATATGTATGACAGGAGAGTGATATTTTCCAAAACAAAGAGGGTCACATTTTTTTAGTTTAGATAAACCCTTAGATCCCTATTACTTAGGCTTGCAGTCAGACCCATTTTTTCAAAGTTTTATCCATTATTTTCAACACATATTAACATTCTCAAAAAATAATTTTACATAAAAGAGTCATTCTTGTAAAAACAGGAATTATAAAAAGTAATTAAAGTGAATTGTAATTTCAAGTATCATTATAATTTCTAATTTTATTTAAAAAAAACTTTAAAAAAATATTTTAATAGTATGAATTTTGAATAGTTAATGCTTTAGAATTAACTATTTAAATTTCTAATGTTAACATTGGAATCAATTCTTCATTTAATATATTAGCAAGAAAATTACGAATTTATAAAAATTTAAAAGTTGTAGTCAGGCTTAATTGTTTTCAAAAATTAATCTTGTACAAATATTTTAATAGAAAACAATTTATAATAATTCATTTTTCAAGAAAAATTTTACTTTATTTTAATTTAAAAAAATTAGGGAATAATATTGATGAATTCTGAGGGATTCCACAGGAAAAGATGAAATGAATTGAATACTGCCTGCATACGATTTAATTTTTCCGGTTGTAAAAGTTTAATATACATATATATCTATACATCTATACATAATAAT